CCTTGAGCAAAAGAAGCTCAGGGACAGTGCCCAGGCCATGAGGTCAAACCCCAAGACTGGAAAAAAAAGAAAGGTTAAAGGGGTAGGCAGGCTGCTACCTCGTGACCCCAGGGAACAGAGGAGTAAGCAAAACAAGATTATTCTTGTTTTGTTTTTTTTTTGCTTAGTATTTCAGCTCTAGCTGGCCTGAAACTCTTGATCCTTTTGCCTCATTCTCCCAAGTATGGGGATTACAGGTGTGCCCCACTCCATCTGGCCAAGAGGACTATTCTTCTGCCTAAAACCTAACAGAATTTGCCTTGTTAGGATTGGAATTGACCTGGGAACATGCCTCTCTTTCCTTCTTTCCTGTTTTCCCCTTTTGGAACTAGGAATGTCTACCATAACCTTGTCTGGTTTCTTGGATCCACTGATAGAGAATAATTTTTCCCTCAGGATGAGTCACACCTCTAATTACACCCACATTTGGTAGATAATATTTAGATGAGACTTTGGACTTAGGAGTCAGAGCTGGAATGCGCTAAGACCTTTGCAGCTGTTGAGAGAAAGGTGAATATATTTGCATTTAGATTCATGTCTTGAAGAGAGTGCTTATGACAGTCCTAGCAAACCAACACACACACACACACACACACACACACACACACACACACACACACACACACACACACACACACACACACACACACACACACACACACACACACACACACACACACACACACACACACACACACACACACACACACACACACCAAACTCAGAGCAACCCAAACAGCCACGATGGGAAAATACATAAAATAATAGTATGTCTAGTCATACAATAAAATACTACTCAGTAACAAAAATAAACAACTAATTCACAGCAAAGTGAATAAATATCAGAAACACAGGGTGAGTGAAAGAAGCCAGACATGAAGGGTACTATTTGTATGAAATTCTGGAACAGTCAAAAAGCAGATCTAAGGCTGTCTAGATCTATCAGGAGATTGAATACAAACTGGCCTGAAAGAAGTTTCGAGGGTAATGGAGGTATTTTGTACTTTAATAACGGTGGTGGTTATATGGTTGTATACACTTGTCCAAACTCATCTCTTAAGACTGAAATGGAGTTCTTTGGCCCATGTGAAGTTTAACTCAGTAATGTTGATTTCTGTTGCTGTTTGGCTGTTGATTTTTTGCTTGTCATGGAGCTTGAACTCAGGGCCTGCGCACTGTCCCTGAGCTTTTGTGTTTAAGAGTAGTGCTCTATCTTTCATGCGATTGTTTCTAAGCATTTATAAGATTATTTCTTTGTTGCTTTGTATGTCCCTCCCCCACAGTATAACCCCTGCTTTCACTGTATTTGATGTCAGTATAATTTGTGGAGGGGAAGGGGAAAAACAAGTCAGTATAATTTGTGGAGGGGAAGGGGAAAAACAAGTCGTTTAAATAAGGATATAGGTGGACCTGTTGCAACAATGAGAAGTACAAGTCTTTATGTCCAAAACGAACTTTACAACTTTGGTTGTAAAGTTTGGGAGGGGTGGGGAGGATTAGGTAGGGGGGTGGGGGGAGGATGGGAAGGGGAAACAAAGGAGGAGGCCACAATGCTTGATAAGAAATGTACTCATTATCTTGCCCATGTAATTGTAATCCCTCTGTACAGTATTTTCACAATAAAAAATAAATAAAAATTAAAAAAAAAGAGTAGTGCTCTACCACTTTGAGGTTTTCTGGTGGTTAACTGCAGATAAGAATCTCATGGATCTTCCTGCCTGAGGATTTCGAACTGAAATCCTCAGATCTCAGCCTCTTGAGTAGCTGGGATTATCGCCATGAGTCACTGGCGCCTTCCAGTAATGTTGATTTTTAACAGGACAATTGAAGTCAATAAGGAGCTTATTATTACTATTTTAATGTAGGCCTTCTCAGTTGTAAACTTGTCAGCTAGAAATGACTAGTTATTAAGGAAAACATATAACTGGATTACTTTCCCATCGCTGTGACCAGATATCTGACCGTATCAACTAAAAAGGAAGAAGGATTTATTACAGACCCTGTTTCAGAGAGCACAGTCCATGGCCACTTGGCTCAATAATTCTAGGCCTATTGTGAGGCAGAGCATCACGGCAGTGGATCGTATGGCAGGCTGCAAGAGCTTTGCCACTATCAATGAAGACAGGAAATAGAGGGAGACAGGAAATGGCCAGGGACAAGATACCCTCAAGGACCCACCCCCTAGTGACCTACGTCTTTCAGCTAGGTGTTACCTCCTAAAGTTTCTAGAACCTCCCAAAACAGTGCTACTAGATGGTGACCAAGTGCATATACAATACACGGAGTCTCTGCATTTGAGTAGTGTGTGTGTGTGTGTGTGTGTGTGTGTGTGTGTGTGTGTGTGTGTGTGTGTGTGTGTGTGTGTGTGTGTGTGTGTGTGTGTGTGTGTGTGTGTGTGTGTGTGTGTGTGTGTGTGTGTGTGTGTGTGTGTGTGTGTGTGTGTGTGTGTGTTCATAGTCAAACCATGACCACAAGAGAAAGACTTTAGGGGGGATGTTGAATAATTTTGAACACTGAAATTTTTTTTAATCAAAAGTGGAATCTACTCCATTTATAAAACAATAAATACATAACTGGGATTTGAGAGAGGAAGACAAATATTGAACACAGAAAAAAAGAGGATATTAAAACAGGGAGTTCGGGTCTGGCCAGTGCCATCTTGGCCTCTTGGTGAATGGGAGGGTCTGGCATCTTGTCTTCATGGTGGGGGAAAGCAAAGCCCCTGCCTCCCACGTGATGGACGTGCCTGAATCCCTGGAGGAAGGGATGGGTACTAGGCTGATAGGTTACTAAACCTGTCAGTCCAGTGGTCCAGTGCCTGGGACTGGGAGTTTCCTGTGACCCTGCCTCCTGACCTGGCCAGCTCAGGTGTCATTAAGCTATGCCATGTTCATGTCCTGTCTGCTGTCACCTGTCTCTTCTCCAGTCACCATGATGTCCCAATTCAACTCTCCATTGGAGCTGAATTGGTTTGTTGGTATTGCTTTTGTTCTTTCCTTCCTCTCTGGCCTTCAGGGCAGTTTTGTGTGAAGTGTATTTGCTGGCTGCTGGTCTTTGAGACAGGAGTCTACCATGAAGTTGCCGGCCTTTTAATAAAGACTCTAAGATTCAACCTCTCAAAATATGGCTTCTCACCTTACAACAATATAAATGATGGGAGTCGCTGAAGAAGAAAACGGAAGCAAGAGAACAGAATACTAAAGACTACTCATGATGGGTATGTGCTGTCTCCGGATACAGTTCTTGCTTTGCAATGCTCTCCTGAGCCAGGGCCCAGACCTCACATCGGCAGATCTGCTAATTTGTATCTGCAGCTATCTTTCTGGTCATCTCCCTGATTGTAAGGCAGTGTAAGGTCTGCCACGGGCCATAGGAGCCCTGGCCTCCCGCCTCCCTTCTTCCTGTATAAGTCTCTGCCAAATATCTGAGTTACCTAGGTAATTGGCATATCTAGAAGCAGTCACCTTCCCCTCCTCCAAGGTCACATCCTGGGCCTTCACACCTTCCATTAGACCAGGGGCGGGGCCCTAGGCTCTGAGATCACATCCCCTACCTGGCCACACCTCTTCACACCCCTGGCCTAGATAAGTCCTGGCCTGGGAATGGGTTGTCCCTTCTGGTGCTCTCCACCTTGCACAGTGGGGCAGCAGTTTGGTAAATAAACTTCTTTTCCTGCCTGAGTATGTCGTCGTCGTGGTGTTCTCTTCATCGGCTACCTAATTAAACCTCCCTATTTAATTTACCCTACAGGCAGGAAGGGCACAAACTCTGGCATCAGAGAGACTTGGGTTCTTCTTCTGGCTCAATCACTAGCTTTCTTGGGCAAGTCGAGCCTGGCTTGTTTCCTCCCCTCTGAAATGAGGCAGACACAGCATGTGCCTGGGCCAGGGTAGGTCTGAGAGCATGAGAGCTCTAACCCCACTTCCTGTTCCTACCTTCACCAACTCCAGGTTGATCCTCCCAGCTTTCGGCCTCAGTTCTCTTGCCTTTCTAATGAAGAACTCCAGGCCATTCCCATCTATGTTTGAAAGATGGAGCATGTACTACCAATCTCAGATTCCTCTGGGCTAGTATTTATTGACTGCTTGGGCTTAAATGGGAAGGACCCCCCCCCCCCCCAAGGCCCTGTCCAGCTCCCCAAGGAAAGCGGGATGATGGGAGCATGCCTAGGTCTCCAGGCTCTGCAGGAGGAAGTACCAGCTCCTGGCTGTATGTCTGCTCTCACGCATCGGCTCGAATAACTTCAAGTACTTCATCTGGGCACTCAAGCCTTGCATTTCCTTGCAGTTCCTTCTAAGCCCCACTCCAATGCTTCTCCATCCCTGGCAGACCACTGAGTGGTCTCCTCTGTGAGCGCCCAAAAAGCCAAGCTGTGAGACCTGAAAGGCTTGGGGGGTTTGGAAGGCCTTCTAACATACTCTCAGAATGCCAAGAGTTTCCAGAAAAGGTCAATCAGTCCTGGTTTAACAGGAATTCAGATTTCAATCCTGGGTGTGGGCTAATTCCACCCTAAACTGCCTGGGGAGCCTGCAGACTAAGGTTTATGCAAATTGTACTGTTCAGCTCTAGTTCTGGGATGTGGAAGTAACTTTTATACAAAATACTGTCACATGTGGTTGCTTATGCCTTTCTGTCTGAACATACTTCCCTATATGAAATGCAATAAAAACCCTGGTTAATGGAACCTTGGGATCTGAAGCTGGTGGAGGGCTACAGGTCCCCTGGCACCCCAAATCTCAATTCCACCATCCAGGCTCCATTACTGCCCTGTCCCAGGTTGCAACAGGTTGTGACACTCCTCCACATGGATCCCACTACCTCCAACCTTTATTTGAAGCCTCTCTCTACACACCTGGCATGGGCCCAGAGAAGCACTGGAGGCTAGCCACCCCAACACACTCCTCCACTCCCCACCCCTACTTCTTCCATCCCTCACCCACCAGCTCAGAGGCTCCCCTTACCCTCGGAAGGTCACCAAATAGGTCACATTCTGGGGGTTGCCAAGCCCTGGGAGCCACGTCAGGTACACACCGAAGTCCTGGGAGAACAGGGTGACGTTCCGGGGAGGGGCTAGATGGGGACTGCCTGTGAGGAAGAAGAGATCATGAGGCTGGAACTCAAGGCTGGTCCAGAGATCTTGAGGCCCTTCTCAGCCAATGAATCCTAAACTCAGAATTCAGATCCAGGCTGGGCCTTGCCAATTCTGAGCATTTTACTCCCCTTCCTCCTGTCAGTTTTCCAGGGCTGGCTAGGTCTCATTCTTCTGTCACTTTAGGCCACAGCATCTGTGGACCACCGTGTGCCAGGGAGTTCCAAAAGGAACACGGCTCTGTGTCCTGACTAAGGGAGACCGTAGTCCCAGGAGGCACCCTGGACACAGACATGTTGCCCGGCTTCCTCAGACGTCTCATCGCTGCTATTTTCCTTGAGCTCTCCTTCAATGGTCTGTGACTCAGTTTCCCCCTTTGAAAAAGGAGCCTCTCTACCTCCCAGGATGGCTAGGTTGCAAAGCTTTAACAGCCCCTGATTCCCGACGCAAAGAAGTGATTCCAAAGTGTGGGATCCGATCCTTCCTTGGTTGCTCCAAGTAAGTTTCCAGCTCTTTCAGACCAGGTAGAAAGATGACCCCCGCCGCTCGGCCGAGGCCGCTCCTCCCCGGATTGGTGATCGCGGTGGGGGTAGGGTCTCCACTGGAGATACTAAGTTCGGGCCTGAGTCGGGGCTCGGCCGGGCTCCATCCCTCGGCCTGCGAGGCCGGAGCTGGGCGCTCCCGGCTTCGGGGGACACCTGGGGGACGGCCGCGCCCCCTCGGCGGGCCTGGAGTCGGGAGCTGGGCACGATTCCAGGAAAGGGGGGCGCAGGGCCCGCCTCCCGGAAAGGATGCGCTCCCTCTGTGGGCTGGTCAGACCCGGGGCCCGGGCGGGCCGGGGCTCCCTGGGCGCCGGGCGCCGTCCCCGTGTCCGCCCCGGCCCCCGGCCCCCGGCCCGCCTCCCCCGGCCCGGCCCTCGCCTCCCCGCGGCGCGCGCTCACCTGCGGTGGCCCGCAGCAGGCACAGGAGCAGGGGCGCCCAGCGGCCGGGCCCCAACATCTCAGCCCCGGGGGGAGCCCGCCCGGCCCGGCGCTGGTCCCCGGCGGCGGCGGCGGCGGCGGCTCGGGCCACCCGCGGGCCGGGAGGCGGCGCTCGGGGCCGAGGGGCCGGGCGGGCGGGGAGCGAGCGGGGCGGGGCCCGCGCCGTCGGGTTTTGCCCTTGCGGGGGACCCGTGAGCTTTCCCGTAACGCGGAGCAGGAAAGCGGCGTGTTGCAGGACGAAGGAGCGGCCTGGACGCAGGCCGGGCAAGGACGCGAGCTGGGCGCCCGCGCGCCCGGCCCGCCCGGGTGCCCGCAGCCGAGCGCCGCGCGCTCCTCCCGGCTCCTCCAGTTCCCGCGAGAACCCGGCGGGGGCGGGCGGGGGGAGGGCTGCCAGGCTCTTCTCCTTCCCTCTCCTCCTCTCCGACCTCGGTCCCCCCACTTCTCCCCTCGCCGACCTCGGGGGGGGGGGCCGATTTCTCCCCTCCCTCCTCCCCGACTTCGCTCCCTCCAGTCCCCCCCACCCCCCAGCCTGAAGCTCCTTGCAAAGCTGCACACAGCGCACAATGTAGCCAATCGGCTGTGTACATCCACCGGGCGCGGTGGCTCACGCCTGTTATCCTAGACACTCAGGAGGCTGAGATCTGAGGATCCAGGTTCAAAGCCAGCCCGGGCAGGAAGGTCCGTGAGACTCCAGAACACCAGGAGAGGCGCTGTGGCTCCAGGAGTAAAGCTTGAAGAGCTGAGGGACAGCGCCCAGGCCCAGAGTTCAAGTCCCATGACTGACAAAAAAAGAGCCAGAAATAGAGTGGTGGCTCAATTGGTTCTGTTTGGTTTCCTAGGGTTTTAGTCATGAATACATACTGCTTTTCCAACGAGAAAAGCCATTTTTATTCTAAAATGATGTATGCAGGATGTCCCAGACTGTAAAGACTGAGAGGTCTGCGACCCAACGCCTTATTTAGCCTTTATGGATGCTAGCTAGAAAAGGGAGCAGGTTTCAGGAGTGGAGAAAGGCCCAAAGCTAAGTATTTTTTTTAACAATGAGAATTTGGGGGAGGGGAAAGTATTAGCTGCTGACACCACACCTATGGTGGCCTCTGATAAAATTAGGCAGCCTTTGGATCCCAGGGCAGTCTCTTAGAGTGTATTGCTTCTGGCTTCTTTGGGGTTAATAGTCTTGAGTGTACTGGTAAGCAATGCCTGTCTTTCTTAGACATCCAGGAAGGTGAACCAGTCCTGTCAGTTCCATCTGAGGTCATTCTGACTTCCATTTCCTCTTTTCCCTTCACCTATTACATCTGTCACAGACATTTACTTTCATCAGCTGCCATTGCTGAGTTCTGTTTTTGGTCGTTACGTAGGTCTTGGAGGAGAAGTGTGCCTCCCCTCTATGCTACAGACACTGCTGCCTGGAACCCAGCCAATGGACAGAGCTGGCCCAGCTGTCTCAGAACCTGGCCTAGCTGACACCAGGGCCACACTGGTGTCCTTAACTATCAGATGTGACCATGACCTTGGAGGAGGAACCGACACCTAGCATGGGGACTGTTGACCCCTCACCCTGTTAAAAATGCAGTTTCTCAGCTCAGATCCCATCTGTTCTTAGGCAAGTCTTTTCTCCTTTCCTTCCTTCCTTCCTTCCTTCCTTCCTTCCTTCCTTCCTTCCTTCCTTCCTTCCTTCCTTCCTTCCTTCCTCTCTCCCTTCCTTCCTTCCTTCCTTCCTTTGCCTCTTCCTCTCTCTCTCCCTCTCTCCCTCTCCCTCCCTCTTTCTCTCTCCCTCCCTCTCTCTCTCTCCCTCTCCCTCCCCCCCTCTCATTCTTTCTTTCTTTCCATCATGGGGCTTGGACTCTGGGCCTGGCCACTGTCCCTGAGCTCTTCAGCTCAAAGATAGGGCTCTGCCACTTGAAATACAGGGCCACTTCGGGTTTTCTGGTGGTTTATTGGAGATAAGAGTCTCATAGACTTTCCTGCTGGGCTGGCTTTGAACCGTGACCCTCAGATTTCAGCCTCTTGAGTAGCTAGGATTACAGGAGTGAGCCACTGGTGCCTGGCTATTTTCTTTTCTCTTTTCTTCCTTCCTTCCTCTCATTCTCTCTCTCCCTTCCTTTCTCTCATTTCTCTTTCTTCTCTTCAGCATTGATGAGTTGTACAAGGGTCTTTCATGCTGATGTGTCCACACAATGGACCTGGATTAGCCCCCCTCCTCCATCACTCTCCCTCGCCAAGCTCAGCAAGCCTCAGTATTCTATTTTCACACTTGTCCAGAAAGGTTTTTTGTTTTGTTTTGTTTTAGGGGTCAGTCGTGGGGCTTAAACTCTGGGCCTGGGCACTGTCCCTCAGCTCTTCAGCTCAAGGCTAGCGCTCTACCACTTGGACCACAGTGCCACTTCTGACTTTTTCTGTTTGTGTGGTGCTGAGGAATCGAACCCGAGGCCTCACCCATGTGAGGCAAGCACTCTACCACTGAGCCACCTTCCCAGCCCCATCCAGAGGGTATTTTGACCACAGGTTCCCTCCCCTGCCCCTTACTAGTTCCCACATCCCGACAAGGCCTGTTTTCCCTTTCTGTCCTTCGCTGTTTGGGGTCTGTGTCTGTTGGTAAAGGGAACTAGCCTTGGGGTTGCTCAATGCTCTAGGCACTCTAATCACATCGATGCCCTCATTTACTCTGCTTTCTCCATCCCTACTCCTGACGATTTATTATACAACCCGAAGAAGCATTTTATAGAGCTGCGGTGGATCTAAATGTTGTTCTCAGTTTGCCCAGGGTGGCAGATATCTGGAAATGTCTGGCTGGTTTGGAATTTGTGCTGTCCTTTCAAACTAACCAGTATATCTGCCCAGAGGCTCTCATAGAACCAGGAGAAATGAATGAGGCCTCGGTGGGGAGATGTCAAGCTAAGGTCTTGAGATCTCCCTGGAAATTTGAATTTTTACCAGCCAGCAACTACATCTCTTTCAGACTTGGCATCCCATCGAGCTGGGGCAGGATGCTTTGGCCGTCAGGATAGAGAGGTCTTCACCTCAGTGGGTTGTACCTCAGCAGCTGGCTCCATTTTACAAAATCTGCCCTGTTTGCTTTCCAACCTTGCTCCCTTCCTTCACCCCCTAATTCCAAGTTAGGAAACTGTATGTCCAGGTGTTAACAGCCTTGAGAAGACATTTTGAGACTTCACGCTTGGGCTGAACCTCATGCTGAACCTCTCAAACCCTTTAGAAGAATTTGCTTATTAAAGCAAGTTTAAAAGTCACAGCTTGCTACCATAGCCAAGTCTCTACTTAGGTCTCCAGCCAAAGGCCCCAGTTTCTTTCAGACATTTGAAATACTGAAAAGAAATCCATTCTGGGGGCTGGGAAGGTGGCTCAGTGGTAGAATGTTTGCTTTGCATGCATGAGGCCCTGGGTTCGATTCCTCAGCACCACATAGCAGAAAAAGCCAGAAGTGGCGCTGTGGCTCAAGTGGTAGAGCACTAGCCTTGAGCTGAAGAGCTGAGGGATAGCACCCAGCCCAGAGTTCAGGCCCCACGACCAAAAAAAAAAGAAATCCATTCTGGAAAAAAATGACTGATCTCTGCAGGTATCTTTTTTTTTTTTTTTTTTTTGTCAGTTGTGGGGCTTGAACTCTGGGCCTGGTACTGTCCCTGAGCTCTTCAGCTCAAGGCTAGTGCTCTACCACTTGAGCCACAGCACCACTTCAGGTTTTCTGATGGTTAATGGAGCTAAGAGTCTCATGGACTTTCCTGTCTGGGCTGGCTTTGTACTGCAATCCTCAGATCGCGGCCTCCTGAGTAGCTAGGATGACAGGCATGAGCTGTTGTACCCCCGTTGCAGGACCCCCACCAAGAAGACCACCGAGAGTCAGAGGTTCCGAAATGCAACAGCAAGGCTTTCAGAAGCAAGGCTTTATTTAGGTGGGCTGCAGCTCGGGCCTCCTCCTACACACCGACTCAGTGGAGCTTAGGAGGAAGCCCCGAGCTGAAATTTCACAGGGTTTATAAAGGCAAAAACTACAAAGTTACAGCAACCAGATGTGTTAACAGGACATTCTAGGGCGATAAGGAATGATAGGGGGTGATCAGACCATTTGGGCCAGGGCAATGAAGGGCAGAGGGTTAGCAGACGGTTTGGGCTAGGGCAATAAAGGGCAGCAGAGGGTTATCAGTGAAGTGAGGGGAGTTTGTGGCCACAGATAACTCTGTCCTTGGGATTGATGTGAGCTCTGGTTAACTTCAACACAGACAGATCAGTTCCTGGAATTTATGATTGCTCTGGGTCACTCATAATTTAACATAAATGACAGAATGGCCGCTGCCTCAAAATGGAGTTACTTCAGCTCTTCAGAGCCACTGGTGCCTGGTATCTCTTTATTGAAAATAGTCAATATGAGCTGGGTACCAGGTAGCTCACACCTATAATCCTAGCTGAGTAGCTAGGATCATAGTTCAAAGCCAGTCAGGCAGGAAAGTCCATGAGACTTCTATCTCCAATTAAGCACCAAAAAAGCTGGAAGAGGGGCTGTGGCTCAAGTAGTAGAGCACTAGCGGTGAGCAAAAAAGCTCAGGGACAGTGCCTAGACTGGCACAAATAAATAAATAAGGAAAAAAAGAGAAGATGGCAATGTATTATACTGTGTATTACAATACAGTGCAGCTCATAATTACAGGCCTTAATCCTTATAATCACTCTATGCATAGGATATTATTTCCTTTTAGCAGATGAAACCCAGAGGTTATATTGTTTCCTTAAGTAACACAGGTAGTTTTAGTGACTGTAGACATTTTAGACCCTGCTGTCTGTCCTCCAAGCTTGTGGTTTTAAGACTTCTGCTACTCAGTCTCCAGATGGTTTGAGGGCAAACCAGAGGAAAATTCCCCATCTCGAGGTCCCCTGATACACAAAGACCTCTAGCACCCTGAACGCTGGAGCACTTGCCTCCATTTGGGTGAGGATGTCAGGCGAAAGTAAATGGTGCTAAGTATGTAAGTGGAGGGGCGGGGGTAGGGTGGGGACCCCCTTCCTTCACTAACAGAGAACT